TATTACACTATCACAATCAGAGTTTATTTCAGGCATCTAATCGGTGTAATAGGGAGGTGGGGGTATTGGGGGTGGGGGTGGTGGTGGTGGGGTGATGGGGGGCACAGCCGCCTAGACTGAATTAAAAATATATAATTCATTCAGAAAATATATAGCTACTAATCAGCATTCGTGGAGATTATAATTGCGCATCCCCTTCGAAGAAGTTTCAAATACTAATCGTGTTGAAAATTGTCTGAAAGAAACAATGATTGCAACATCCAAGTGCAAAATGAATTTTATAGGATAAGTGATAAAACTTAGCTTATTCTTCCATCATTGGGTTTAATTAAGTAACAAAACTGAGCAGCAGAACACGATTTAACTCTAGTTGATAACAGAGATATGTTAAAAGATAGCTTTTATTTAACTTGTTTCCTCGTGCTTGATGCCTTTGTCTGTCTGTCGTGCTTCGTCCGTCATGGGTCTAACTTGGGAGTAAAATTTCGACCACTTCTAACGAACCAATTTTTTTCAAAAGACATCGAATTCGACTTAATTGGATGCTTGGTTTGTTTTCAAAGAATTTACTACAATTTCCAAAATGTAGTACTATTTTGTCGCGCTGTTATACCCACATTGGTTTCATTAAGTATGCAATTCTTTTTAGTCATGCGATCTTTTTATATTAAGATTTGTAGAAAATTGACATTTTTTTTGGGGGGGGGGGGGGGGGTGAAACCTGGGAGGGGCGCACTTAAATTTCTGGGCGGACACTGGTTAGAGTATATAGGCCAATTGCCTACTTTATAACATTCGAAATGATCGTTACTGCCTAAATTTGCCCAATTATTTTAAAAATACCTTTACCAGCTACTTTCTTTATATTTACTCCCTCCCACCATCAATCTCAGTAGACGTTTGCACTCCCTACGAACTAATCCCCACCGGAAATAGAAGCGGCATGAAAAACCGTTTAGTACGATTGATAGATGCGCCAACTTTCTATGCCGCTAACATCCCGACTGATGTGGGCTTCAAGCATTTACATCAACTTACACTTAAGTTGTAACGCCAATTTCTAGCTGGAACAAAAGCTGGTCACTCTCCACACACCCGCAGTTACGTCACTCTCCTGTTGATACAAATGCGGCTTTAACAGTTGAAGTTTATGGTGTGATGTAATAGGTTTAGTTAAAGATACATTTTAAGGATAGTTGCGCCTATTTTGGGGGAAAACAAATAAAACGGCAGTGATTTCCCCTAAACTTTCTCGAATAAATTACTTTCTATATATTTAGGCCTATATATATAGAATCTCGTAGAAAAAGAATTGCGCAGTAAGTGAACAGCTAACAATGTGTGTATAGTAATGCGGAATGTTAGTACTTCATAAATTCATATTCGTTTTTTGAGAAACCGGAAATAGCGTAAAGTACTATTTCCAGTAAACGGAAATTACTCAAAATTTTACAGATAGCAGAGAATTAGATCTTTTACTTCTCTGTGAAATTTCGTCTATTTATCTGAAACAGTACTTACGTTATAGGCTTTTGAAAAACCAAAAGTAGAATAAGTTCCACTTCCGGTTAACGGAAATTGCAACAACTACAAACAAATTACTGAATCTACGAACTGAAAACTCCCGTGTTGTGTACCCTAAATAAATATAACACTTTTGAATAACTCATCGCAAATAAATCTATAGCCTACTTCTTGGCTTACGTAGCTCAGCGCAAGGCATGTGCGAGGCGCATTTGTGTCACAATATCTTTCTACTTTAGCGCCTGTACATCTACTGTTTGTGTGATTCCTTCTGGATATACAGAGTTTCTTCCAGGCATCTCTTCGAACGAAATGAAATTTCTATAGAAAATATATACTATTAACAGTGTTCGGAAGAAACACTGTGGATATAGACGGTCAACCATCTACAGATCAATCTTAAATCACAATTGTAGTCTTTCCTTGAGTTGTCTAGCTCAATTCAGCCATCCATCTTATTTACGGGAGACCTATTAACTTAGGGGTTTAAGATGTCTAGAAATAGAAACGTTGGGTAATTGTTCACCTAAAGTTTGCCCCGTAGAATACGATTCTGCTTATCTGGAATATTTTCCAAATGTATCTTATATAATAGATATACCTACATAACAAACATATACTTAAATATCTCTAGTAAATATAGTTAAAACAATATAAAAACACGGCAGATAAGAGTAAAACTGCCTCCAAAGGTGATTAAGCAAACTTCAAATAAAGAATAACTCAGAGGCGTATCCAGGTTTTCGTTGTAGGGGGAGCGAAAAGAGCAAAAACAGGCGCCGAATTTTTAACACGTTCTATATACGTGTAATATATATATATATATATATATATATATATATATATATATATATATATATATATATATATATATATATATATATATATATATATAATTACTAGCTGTATGTCATTACTTCGTTATGGTGTAAAATAAATTGAAAGTAGCACTCTGAAGAAATAAGAAAAAACACACAATGTAGGCCGACAAAACAAAAATTGTATCAATCTAAAAAAAAAAAAAATCTACACACACTACAACCAAAAACAATGAACGTAATTCTTGTAAACAAATTTCTTACATAATAATTCCTGGGAAATTATGTAAGACAAGTGAAATGGGGAAATAATCAATCTCTTAATATAAATATGTATATATCTACACATTTAATTATAAATGTCAAAATAAATAAAATTATTTACTTTAGAATATAATCAGATTGTTTAACACTATTCGTGTTTACAAAATGTTTTTGTCTATAATCATAATTTAATATATCGTCATAATAAATCCTAAAGTAGTACAGCATAATGAAAGCTTTTAAAATCAGAGTTGGTATAAAACCACGTTTTTCACTATAATAGAAGAACATTCGGAATAAAAGCCTACATTTAACTAAATATCGATTTTTAGTTCAGATCATATATTTTTAAATAACTACTGCTTCTTTGTGTTCTTTAAAAATCATTTTTTAACAAAGTGATAGCTATGGGTTAGATCACTGTATGATCACACACCTTTTACTGGTAATTGCAAAAACAATATTCACAGAGTTTTACGTTTAAAAAGGTAATGTTATGGCGGCATGGTACTTTGGTACATCATTACGCGTTTTTCTACATGTACTTAACAGATCAGTTCGGGGTGGGTTGGGGGGGGGGGTTCAACTTCATTCACCACTGTCCGGTCCCTTTCGGTCAATAATCCAACCAAGTGTATACCTAGGTGTGACATTAATGTCGCTCTACACAATTGTGGTGGTGAGGTGTATGGGGGGGGGGGGATAACCAACTTAGAGTGAACATAGCGTCAGTTTTTATATGACTGAAACATACATATATATTACACAAATATATATTACAAAAATATATATTGCAGAAATAGATTTAAATAAGTAGCAGTGTTATTATGACAATATTTTTTTTTACAGAGGGGTCCATGGGGGAGGGGGGTTGTAACTGTTTCATATAATTTGTAATCGTAATCACAATCGCCCAAACTGTAAGACTACTACTACTTCATCGTGATGACGTTGTTGACCTTGTCAAAATTTCCCCATCACTACGCAGTTTGCTCATCAGTAAATTTAAATAGAGGTGCCACATCCGTTTCTGTATTGTAATTTAAAAAAAATAATTAATCACACGATTCAAACTGTATATATAAAGTAATTATGTGTGAAGTTTTATGTATAATATTTTCTAATTCAATTATTCGTAAGCAAATACATTATACAGTTGCCTTAAACTTAACACCCCTCTTGCCAAGTGGTACTACCCGTAGAGGTTTTTTAAACATTGCAATGCATCATAATAGTTATTTTTAGAATGGCAAACTGATGCAGCTGTTAATACGTGTTGTAAACGTAGACACTACTAGACTAGTACAATAATGCTTAATTGCTGCATGAAAAGAAATCTTGTGATTTACATAGATGTGCCGACCAAAAATATTTTTTTAACAAATATCATTGTTTAAAACTTTGAGTTTAAAAAGTTTCCAAAAAGGCGCCACTTTGCTGAAAATGGCCAGAGGGGGAGCGGCCGCTCCCCCTGCTCCCCCCCTGCGTACGCTACTGGAATAACTATAGTTGTTTATTTTACACGATCATAATTATAGTATAGTTTTTGAAACAGGTCAAACTGTGTGAATACTGTTTCTGGAATTACGAGTAATGAAGTATGTGAGCAATACAGAGATCTGACCCATACCTTATCATTATGTTAAGAATAATGTTTAAAAGATCACAAAAAGCAGTAGGCCTAGATAATTCAAAGATGTAAACGTCTGAAATACAAGACCAATAAGTTTGCTAATTTGACAAAATGCTTTAGGCTATAATTCAGAATATTCCACCTATAGTTTCTGCGCTTTTATATTAATTCCGCTTTCAGAAACTTTCTTAATGCCGTGTTGTTTTAGCATTTATGACAAAAATATAGTTAATATTCAGATTGTAGACAGCATTTTTTGTTGTTGTTGTAAAAACGAATAATAATAAGATACTGTATTGAATAGTACAGAAATTATTGATTTGGTTGAATTTGACAATTACAGTTAAATGTGTAGGCCGATACATATCTATATTTAGAGTCTTTATTTCCTCTTCTGTAGGTCAGTTGTCTTATTAAGTAGCCATCTCTACCCCTTTCAAGTGAATTAGAGGCATATATACGTTTAATGTTATATATATATATATATATATATATATATATATATATATATATATATATATATATATATATATATACACGGCGCCCTTTTCTCGACTCGCCGCTCCCCCTAACCAGAAATCCTGATGGCCCCTATCCTACGCCTCTGAATGGGTTGACGTTTATGGTGTGATGTAATGAATACGTTGAGGAGGTTTGTGTTTTAATGTTATGAGTAAGCCGAGACATACGGTGTGATGTGTGAGTAGGTTGAGGTTTATTGTGTGATGTAATGATTAAGTGAATGTATGATTACTTCACAGACGGCAGTTAATGGCGGAAACAATGATTTTTGGAAACGCTACCCTTGATGGCCAGGGAAGATGGTGCTCCAACACCACAAAAAGGGACTACGATGACTCGTTTAAACACTTTTATGACATCGCTCAGGTAAATAGGACACCCTCCATTTTGTTAAGCTGGTTTTCCGACACCCATACTTTTTCTACGCTACTAAGGTAAATATACATTAAAAACCAAACAAAGGCGTCTTAAGTTTAATGAATGCATTTACGGTAATTTAACACAATTATAATAAAGCGGGACTGATCTCTCCTAAACTTTCTCGAATTTTTTATACAACACTACGGGGATGGCAACTCGGGATATAGACATGATTTTTAATCAGTTTTTACATACTTGAACTTTTAAAAATAGAATAGCTAAACAGAAAGCAAAAATATGCAAGTGATATTAAATGCGACCAATGCTTTTATTAAAGAAAGAAAATGAGTTTGGGTTTCTAATTTTCTGTGCATTTAAAAGCTTATTTTAGTAAAGGTTTTTACATTTATTTCCAATTTTTACTTCCTTGTATCATTATACAGAGTATAGAGAAAGTGTTGTATTTATGCAAAAAAATTAATTAAGATTTTAAGCTTTCGTAGTTTTACAACCTCACCACTTTATCGTAAACGCGACACGACAGAAGCTCCATTTGTTTATCCAGTTAACATCCAGTCGGATTTTTAACTGTTTGCACGTACCTATTCCTTTAACTGAACCTATACCTGTAGCTGTACCTGTTCCTGTACCTGTGTCGGTACCTGTACTGTACCAATTATTACCTATCTTTTTATTTAAATGAACTATCAGTTCAGACGTTTGGATTTCCAAACAGGACAAAGCCGCAAATATAATTTGATTTTTACGAGCTTTTATTTAGTTCGCTGCGTCTGTTTTTGTGGATTTGTGGCGATTCTTGTAACTCAATTTCTAATGAAGAGATTTCTTTCAAACTTTCCAGAAACGTTCCACTTCGATGACAATACACGTGTATTTTTTAATTTGATTAGATTTTGATTAAATTACCATAAAAATAAGATATAAATTACATTTATTTTTCAGTCATGAGGGCGGCCCTTAAGATGACCACCCAGAGCGGCACTTTATATCTAACCCCCCCGGTCATTAACCCCCAGATGTATTATCTCTTCTCTATTACCACCCTGTGTAATTACCTCACTACAAAATACATATTTTACTAATAGTCCCTTTCTTCCCCTTAACCATATCCAGGACCCTGTTCCTAATACATAAACAAATGCTTATCCTTAATCTTCACGATTACAAGACTTTCTCTATACTTCGTATATACGAGAAAGTAAAAATGTTGCGGACAAAGAGAGAGAGAGAGAGTGTGTGTGAGAGAGAGAGAAAGAGAGAGAGAGAGAGAGAGAGAGAGAGAGAGGAAGAGAGAGAGAGAGAGAGAGAGAGAGAGAGAGAGAGAGGAAGAGAGTTTAGAGGAGATTACTCCTGCTTTATTTTCATTGTGTTTAATTACCGAAGATGCTAAAACGTAAAATACATCCAGTCCGAAAAAACTAAACAGTCAGGATTTTATAACCAAACTAGCGCACCCGACCGGCCGCGCGTTGCCGCGGGGATAGAAGAAAGTTTGACGGAATTTATTAGAAGGATTTCACCAACGCGTTATCAATTATATGTACTTAGACGCGTGACCTTCTTTTCTAAAAATGAGTTATTTAAATGTAAACAATGCCTGCGCTTGGATCATAAATATCAGGACACGGGTTTACCTACACTACCGCATGAAAACCTTGAGTGTACATTAATCACTCACCGAAATAATATGGTAGAACACACTTCGGTGACCGCCCATGTGTCAGAGACGTAGAGGGGCGCTCTCAGGGCCCCCACCCCCCGATTACACTACCGCATAGGCGCGGCGTACGACCCCTGGCTCCTTAAAACTAACAGGCGCCATTTAAAAAAATTATTTGACGTGTTTTAAATATCAGTGTGACTGATGCAATATGCTAGCGTTACTAATGGTCTATTATTAGATGCTCGATCTCAATTTCTGACTGGATTGTCAAATAATAGATGCTTATTGCATCATTCGCAATGTGACGAAACTCTACAGTAGGCTCCTCATATTCAAAAAGTTATCTTTCGCAAGGTGACGAAACTGTACAGAAGGATTTCCTCGCGTTACAAAGTTATTTTTAGAAGCCTGTTGTAGTTTTACCGCTGAATATAGTAGTACCCCTTACTCGCTATGCAGGACGCTCGATTAACGGATGTCAAGTGCCAACATAGTCGCTCTAAAATTCTGGGCGTCAAACCGTGTATTGACGAAAATTGTACCCTATATGGCGCCGCCCATAAGAAACTTTAGTTTTCTTTTTCGCAGAAATATTCTCCGGAGTATTCTCATCAACTCCCTAAAGTTTCATGGCACTCGGATGAACCGCATCCGAGTTTTATTTTTTATATACCGTGTATAGAGAAAAAAAAAACGCCCCCCGACAATATTTTTTTTTGCAGAACCCTACCATTGAATGATCTAATCATCTCCCCAAAGTTTCATGGTACACGGATGAACGGTGTGAAACCGAAATTTTATAAACCGTATATAGAGAAAAATCGCACCCTCCCGTGGCGCCACCCTTGCGAAATTAAAAACGGATTTTTTTTACAGAACCCTTCCCTAAATTGTTCTAATCAACTCCCCCAACGTCTCATGGCTATCGGATAACGGTGTCTCACCAAAATCGACTTTTATTTTTATATACCGTATATAGAGAAAAATCGGACCCTCCCGTGGCGCCGCCCTTGCGAAATTAAAAAATATTTTTTTACAGAACCCTTCCCTAGAGTGGTATAATGAACTCCCCAAAGTCTCATGGCTATTGGATGAACGATGCCAAACCAAAATCGACTTTTAGTTTTACATACCGTAAATAGAAAAAAAAAATCGCACCCTATCGGGGCGCCACCCCTGCGAAGTTGAAATTTTTTTTTCGCAGAAACCTCCCCAGGAATATTCTCAACAACTTCCTAAAGTTTCTTGGCGATCGTGTGAACAGTGTCACGGCAATTCACTTTTATTATTTTTATATACGGTATATAGAGAAAAACAATTCGCGCCCTGCCGGGGCGCCACCCCTGCGAATTTGAAATTTTTTTTTCGCAGAAACCTCCCCAGGAATATTCTCAACAACTTCCCAAAGTTTCACGGCGATGTGATGAGAGGTGTAGTAATGCATAAAGGACAAACAGACACACATACATTGCTTTTTATATATATAGATTAACTAGCCGTCCCGGCCAGGCCCTGCTCTGGCTTCTGTGAAAAACCTTTCTGTTAAAGACCATTACCTGTGTGTTTAGTAATCATCCTAAACCCGGCATTGCCCACCCAAACCACAACCAACCAAAACAACAAAACGCAAACATAACGCTAACACAATTACAAATACAAACGAAAACAAAAACCTAACAACAAACCCAACCACAACCACAAACACCAATACAAACACAAAGAAAAAACAAACAAAAAAGCAAACGAAAACAAAAACCTAACAACAAACCCAACCACAAACACCAATACCAACAAAAAAAAAAAAAACAACGAAAAAGCAAACGAAAACAAACCAAATCCAAACGCAAAACCAACCAAAAACACAAATACAAACCCAAACAAAGAAACACAAACAAAAACGAAAAAAGAAAGAACAAAAACGAACCAAATCAAAACGCAACCACTAACGCAAACCCACCTAAACACAAAGAAAACACTAACGCGAACATAAACGCCCGGGGCGGAATCACCTGTTTTAGCTTAATGAACGACTATAGTACCCCAACTTATTCATAGTCTTTTGCACTCACTTAAACGAACGCGCCTGTTTCAATTTGATGAACAATTTTAATACTCCAAGCTTATCCGTAAAATACCTACAACATTTGCACTTGATCAATCCCCGCTAATTATGTAATTATTTTTTTTCCCAACACCAAAACAAAGTAATTAAAAAGTAAATACTTTTCCACAAAATGCAATGTTTTATAAAGGGAAGTAATTGTGTTTTTCCTAATTTATCAAAGGGAAGTAAGTGTTATAGGACTAAATAAAGACATAATTAGAATTTTTGTAAAAGATGATATTTTTTTTAAAACTTGTGTTTAATGTACATGCCGACAATTATTACTATAATTTGAAAAATGAAAATTATTTCCCAACACTTTCAACAGTAATTTTTTAGCTCATAAATTTAGACAAATGCGCACGATAATTTTCTAACTTTTAAATTCGTACACTTCCAACGACATACAAATGCATTACATACAGAACTGAGCTTTATATATTAGATTTTAAACTACACCATGTATGATTTAAAAATATTTAATAGGCCGATATGTTAACAAATCACCCACCACGGTTTGCAAAAATACTTTCGGGGGCTTCCACTAAAGCGGGGTCCCTAACTTATAGCTTGTTTATCATATACGGACATTCAGCAAAATTATCTGGACAGGTAAGGGGGTGATAAGGTTTAACGACAAAGTCACATAGGGCAGCATATACCCTTACTAAGCCACTGACTTGAATGGTAGCTAGAAAGAAATAGAACTATCAAATAGTGTTTTACTAGAAGGGTGATATGTGTCTGTTCAGGCATGGTCGTGTGTTGTTTACACAGTTCTACATTTCTTGGAATGAGTCGACATCTATAAGTTTTACTGGCACTATCGACAGGGATTTTGATCAGCATTTGTATGATATAACACAAAACATTACTTCATCAGTTCACAAGTTAGTTTCCACAGATTGGACATCTCTAAGGTGATGCTAATCCTTCTCTCAAAGAAAGCGGAAGAGGGAACCAATTTCCCGTCGACTTAAGTCTGGCTGGGTCTATATCAATATTGATTTCTGGTCAAATTAAAGACTAAATGGTTGTTTTTTTACCTCAAGGAAAGTAATGAAAGGCTTGACCCTAAGCAGTATACCAGTATTTCTAGACAAACAAAACAAATTTGATACAATAAGGCAAGCTACCGCTCTAACAGAAATGTAATTAATTTGGTAAAGTAAGTAAACCTAGCCCACATTAATAATTATACAGATCTGTTACAATAGG